CATTTCTGCTCCCCACCTCCCACCACCTTACACTAAGTGAACATAAATGATTCTCCCACCAAGTATTTGATCCCAGCCACCGTTTTCACTTAGAAACACACCAGTAATAGGCTCCCACTAGCATTTCAGGATCTGGCTCACTGGCAGGTCCCGGTTATATTCCTGCCCCCCACCCTCCTCCAGGCGAAAGCCAGAACGAGGCCCGCCTGCACGAGAGGCACTCAATTCACGTCTGCGCTAAAATAAAGTGGTCTTTATATTAACAAAGTAATTATGAACTCCATCTCTTTGCGGAAAAAGAAATTAACTGCCGGTAAGTCCTCACCCAGGGCTTTTGCAAAAGGCAGGGCTCTCCTATTTCACAAAGATTAGCTCATTTGATCCTCAGCCCGCTCCCAGGGAAGAGGGAACATCCTGATTCCCATTTCCCAGATGCGAGAAGTGAGGTCATTCAGCTGACGTGTGACAGGGACAGCCACATTCCACGGGCGCCTCCGGACGCTCCCCATTCAGGCTGGCCGGGGTACTACCGACCACACAGGCAAAGGAACCTTAGTTTTCCACTAAAAGGAGAAACAATGGCAAGAGCTGTCATTTCCAAGCAGCTTTAAACACCTACGATCCGTGAAGGCACAAACCAGCCCAGGTGGCAGCCCGTGTGCCTGCCCCTTGGTCTGGCGGGGACGGGAGCGGCCACCAGTCATCTGACAGGTATCCGTCCAGCACCCACTGTGTGCCAGGCAGCAGCCTGGTGTGGCCATGTCTCCATGAGGGACACATCACCGAAGACCAAATGGAAACGCGGCTGGAGATGGTAGGGACCTATGGGCAGCTGATTCTTGTCAAAAGAAAAATGGCACTGGGCTCCTCTGTGAGTTGGCAAGTACCACTCACTGAGAAAATCGAGGTAAAGCTGAAAATCGAAGGCGAGAGCCCTCAGCTTGCCCAGAACCAGGTCCGGAAGGATTGGAATGGCGCCACCGCAGCCTTCCCTCTGCTCAGAGCCCTCCTGGGCCCCCACCCCACCCCAGCACCTGCTAACCTCATCTCCCCCCACTCTCTTGCTATACCGGCCTGCAGGCACAGGACCATCTCAGGGCCTTTGCACCGGCCGTTCCCACAGCCTGGGATGCTCCCCCAGCAAATCTCCACTGATGGCTCCCCCCTCACCTGCTTAAGTCTTGGCTCAACTGTCACTTTCCCACGAAGGCCTTCCCTGATGCCCAGCCCCCTCCTATTTAAAACCCGAACTTCCCCCTGCCCTCCCCAGGAGGAGCCTGCTCTTCTTTTCCTTAACAGTTATCAATTTCCACCCTGTTCTGCCCCCTTCCTTATCTGCCCCCCACGGCAGGGGTTTTGGTATCTTGCTCAGGGCCGTGTATGCACCCCAGAACAGGGTTGCACAGAGTACACGTGCTCAGAAAACATTTTTCAATGAATAAATGAAAACTGCACAGCGTTTTAAGCACTTTTCCTATGCTAGACACTCTTTCGAAGCATTTAGTCCTCGCTCTACTACCCTCAATGACAGGCACCAGATGACTTCATCTTCCCTAAGAGGTGAAACACACCAATCTGGTCACCTGAAAGGGGCCCGTCAGTAGCTACTGTTAACAGCCCCATTTCCTAGCTGCGGATACCGAGGCTCAGAGGGGGAAAGGCTCCTGGGATCAAGCCCAGCCCTGGGAGATTCTGAGCTGGAGGCCTCAACCTCGGCTTCCTCCTCCTCTCCCAAGGAAAAAGTTCCCAAGCTCCTCCCTCCATTTGGCTGCTGAGGCTAAAAGACCAGGGTCACTGGAGAGCTACATCCTTCCCCCTTCTTAGGGCCACATGCTGGTACAGGGCAGACAAGCCAAGGGTCTTAAACTCAAAGGTTTCCAGGGCCAGGAGTCCCCAGGCAAATGTAAAATGAGCCTGGGCGAGTATTAGGGAGGAGTGGAGTGTGGCACCTCCCGTGGCCACTTCTAGTCTGACCCAGGCACTTGATGCCAAGCAAGACTTGGGCCTAGGGAGGCCAGAATATGATGATTATAACAACAGCTGCCAGGGGCATAAGGTCAATGAACTCAACACCCATTAACTCATGCAGTTCCCCTGGGGAGGGTCTAGTTATCACCCCATTTTACAGAAAAGGAACCTGAGTCCACTTGGCCAAAGCACACACCCAAACACGCTGGAGTCAGGCCTAAGGCCTAAGGCCCATGTACACCACCACTAAACTCTAAAGATCTGTGGGTGTTTGCTAAGCACTGCAAAAATCCGAATCTTGATGCAAAATATAAATATTGGCAGCTAATTAAAAACAAAAAAGATTTTAAATGCTATGCAGGTGAAACAAAAACCAGCAAGCAGGCCTCGGCCCCCAGCTGCCGATCTGCAATCACTGGTACAGGCTGAGCTAACTGGGCCATTCTCCCTTGGACCACATTCTTAGAAAAACCAACAAGGAGGAGGCAATGAAACAGAGCTGTCCGTGCTGACCCCCAAGCCCAGGCCCTTGACATACTCTCTCATTTGTTCCTTGAAACCAGACAAGATGTCCACTGTAAAGATCCATAGTGCAAAGAGGCAAACAGGTTCCCATTCAAAATGAGGCCTGCCTGCCCTCCCCCTATGGCAGGGCTTAGTAGCTAAGAAACCTTACCCACGCTCCAGAAATAAAAAGAAGTTAGCTCTGTTTGAGCAACCCATCCCCGAGAAGCTTTTTTAAAACTCTGGTTCTCAGGCCCTGAACTATTGCTCTCAAAGATCAAGGTCACATTGCAGGCTTCTGGGAGGAGGTTGCCACAGGAGCCAGCTCAGTAGTAGATGCCTGGATGGGTGCGTAAGAGAGAAAGGAGAAGGGCAGAGAGAGTGAGGGGAGGTGGGCAGGAGAGAGAGACCTCAGGTCCCCAACCTAGAGCTCCCAATTCCTCACTGAACGGCCTTGAGCAGGAGTACTCTGCTGAGCCTCAGTTTTCTGCTCTGTAAAATGGGATCATAGCAGTGTCAGCCTCGTCAGGCTTAAATGTAGTCCAGTGTGTAACCTGAAGCACTTTCCCTATTCTGATTAGTTTTTGTTGATGGTATGAGAGGAACCAGCATGGTGAATAACAGCCTGTCCATGTCGACCTACTGTGTGCCACACACTGTGTTAAGTAAGCACTTTGAACACATCATGTCCCTGCATCATGACAACAGTCTTGTCGAGGGACCATCACCCCATTTTTAGGAGGGGAAACAGGCTCAGAGAGGCCAAACCACCTGAGCAAGGTCCCAAGGCGAATGAAATGGACAGAACTTTGCTGTGTGCCCATCGAAAGCCTGGGCAGGGAGGAAGATAACCACGCAAAGGGGCCCACATCCCAGCCCAAGGCTCAGCCCAGGCCCGGCTGACCCCAAGTCCACACCTTTCCGCCACAGTGGACAACAGGCAAGGCGCCAGAGACAAAGCATTAAAGGAGGAAATTCATGCCGCGGACAGCCGAACTCCAGGCCTCCGGGAAGACAGGGCGGGGCTGGGCACCCAGCGGGTTCCAGTGAGCCCTAGCCTGGTGCCCTTGAGCCAAGGATGAGTCTCTGCTGAGCCTCCCCGCTCGTGTCTAAGGTGGGGATAAGAGAACTTCCACCTCGCTCACTGTGGGGTTCAAGAGGCTGACAGAAGAACTCAGCCTGGGGCCTGCCAGATGAACATTACCTCTTAACACCGATAACAACCACAGTAATACTAAGGATTACTGTGATGTTATCGTTTGGCAGCCACAGGCACAAATGGAGTCCTTCCCAGAATGGAGAAGTGACAGCCCATCTGGGAGGCAGAAGGGCAAGAGGCGGGGGAAGGGAGAGGAAAGAACCAAACACCCCTGGAGGCCACATGTCCAGCTCTCATTCATCAGCTTCCTGAATCCTGGAAACAGCCCAGAGAGTGGAGTTTGCCCACCAGACAGATGGGCACACTGAGGCTTCTCAGGGCTGCCCAAAAGCCTGATAAGGCTCCAACGAGGTCCCCCAAGTTGCAGGCTTTCGCTTGGGAGCTGGCCTCTGTGTTCTGGGACCCCAGAGCACCCTGACAAGGGCCGGGAAAGAATCCTGCAGAAAGGTTCCCCCCCCCGCCCCAAGGGCCAACTTCCAACTGATAGGGAAATTCAGGTTTCATCCTTCAACTCCCTTGTCCTCTGCATGCTCCCACCACCTCCTCCCTACTGCCGAGGTGGGGCCAGACAGCCAGGGCCTGCCAGGGCACTGATGGGCAGACTAAGATAAGGCCGACACCTGTACAGACAAACAAAAGGATCTATTTGGGAGAGAAGCCAGCGTTTGCCAGGGACCAGGCTTTAGAGTCAGCCTAGGAGAACCGGACAACCGAGTCCCCTAGGGTCCAGCCAGCCAGTCAAACTGCAGAGGCTAGCCAGAGTAACCCAACAGAGACACGGCTAAGTGTTAAAGTCTGCGAGGGGCACGGACAGGCAGCCAGACAGCACAGGTCACCCCAGACGGCTAGCCAGGCAGCAGGGGGCCACCCTGAGGGAATGGACAGATGGACAGCCAAATGATGGTGGCAAGGAGTTCTATCCAGGACAGAGAGACAGCTAACCAGACGGCAGGGGCTGCTCCAGATAAATGAACAGCCAGCCAGACCACAGGGGTTCAAACCAATAGGTATCTAGCTGGCAGGTTTCGGACAGAGAAGAGGGACCTAACCCTGACCCACAGGCAACCAGACGGTAGAATTCAGCCACGAAAGCTGGGGACCAGAAGAGTCGGCGACGGTCCACCGCACTTCCTGGCCCACGCCCCCCAGTCGGTGAGATGCCCCAAGGGCCTGAGCCGGCTCCCCAGCCCCTGCAGGAAGCCCTCCGCCCAGGGCGTCCCACAGAGCCCGCCTCCCTGTCCCCGTCCCCGTCCCCGTCGCGGGCACGCAAGCGCCGCAGTTACGCCGGCTGCGCAGGGCGCGCCATTCCCGGTCCGCCCTCCGCGCCCTAGGCCGCCGCCCGCCCGCCGTAGCCGCCGCGCTCGCTCACCGGCCGACGAAGTTCTCGAGCACCGAGCTCTTGCCGGCGCTCTGGCCGCCCACCACGGCGATCTGCGGCAGGTCCAGGTGGCAGCTCTGGCCGATGGAGCTGAAAGCGTCCTGCAGCTTGTTGACCAGCGGGATCAGCTCTTCCATCCCGCGGTTGCCCATGGCGCTGGCGGCCCCGGCCCGAGTGCCCCGCGCTCCCCGCCCGCCCCCGGCCCTTAACGAAGCGGCCCCGCGGCGTCCGCGGCCGTTGCTCCCCGCCCGCCCGGGCCTCGGCGCGACGCCCGCTCCCGGCTCAGCCTCACAGTCGCCGCCTCATCCGGTTCTCAGACGACACCCGACCCGAGCGACCTCCCGCCTGGGCTCCGGGGCTGCGCCCAAATCCCTCACACCGCCCCCGATTGGCTGGTTGCGCTGCCACTCGTACACACGAGCCAGTGAAAGAGAGGCATAGGCCTATGGTTGAGTGAACCTTCCCCCAGGAGACCTCCCGGTGGGTTCATTGGACTCCAGAACTGTCGTTTTTCCGCAAGAGCCAATAGCGTGGGGGCAGCGAGTTGTCAAGGCCAGGAGGCGGTGTTTCGGGAAAAGGCAATGTTGGCTCCGCCTATTATGGGAAGTCCCCGACGGCAAGAAAACCCAAGTCTTATTGGCAGAAAGACCCGCCAGTCAAAAGTGCCGGCCAATGACATTAGGGATCGATTCATAGACTGGTTTGTCGCTTGACACTACCTAGTTCCCTAAGAATTCCCCATTGGTTTATATAAATATCATTTCGTTCCTCCAGCCAACAAAGTCAGAGACGATGGGCTTTGACCTCCGAATCCTGACTTTGATTGAGAACTTCTCTGTCAATCAAAGAATCTCCCGTTTTGTGATTGTTGTAGGTCTATTAGAGTAGAGTCTTCCGGAGTAAAGGATAAGGCCCACCGTACTCGCCGAAGGGCGACACCTCGTGGTGGGACTCGGTAGTGTCCGTCGCTTCTGAGTTTCCGGCCTCTAAAGAGAACTACACGTCCCAGAATGCATCTCGGCCCGGGGCTTGCAAACCAGCATTTCGCGCGGGGTTTCAAAGCGCTTTGAAGATGAGTCCGGCGTTGGTAGTTCCTAGGGAGGGGCGGTCTAGCGCTGCATCGTTGGCTCTCATTTTCATTCCTGTAAAGTCCCACCTCCACGCTTTTGCAAATGCTGTGCCCTTTCCTAGGATTACCTTCTGCTCACGCCCCGACTTGATTCGGCTAACGCCTGCAACGTTGTTCCCCTGCCTCTTCAACTTGAGCGCATCGTGACATTTTTGAATACCCAGTGAAACTCAACGGACCCTCTCCCCATGAAAAGATATTATTTTACAGTCGCTGTTGGAGGTTCTGGGATCTAGGGATCTTGACTTCGTGGGAAAAAAGCCGGGGACAGGTGGAAAGATTTTATGAAAAGAACTGATTTGATCCCCCTAGGCATAGATTGGCCAGAAGGAAGCCCAATAAGGAGTCAGATGCAATGGAGGTAGGGAAGTGGGCTGATGAGGCAGTAACAGGGGAGTGGCAGAGTGGCCAACGGTATATGCCTGCTCCAAGACCTAAAACCCCGGTCTCAGAGAGGTGGGCAAAAAGTTAACCGACAAGGCTTGGCATTGCAGCCTTGACCACAGTGACGGAAACCTGGAAACACCCTACATCCCCTTCACTGAGCTGGTTAAATACTGTGCAACAGCTCTAAGACAGGAAGTCTTCATGTTCTGACGTGTAAACAATTTGAAATATACTAAGAGAAAAAAAAGGTACAGAGCTGCACATCAAGGGCACCCACATTCATGAAAAATATATACACATGGAAAATCTCTGGGAGAATACACAAACTGGTCAAAGAGTTGCATTTTTATGCTGTGAGAATAGTGGATCCTGGGGCGCCTGGGTGGCTCAGTCGTTAGGCGTCTGCCTTTGGCTCAGGTCATGATCCCAGGGTCCTGGGATCGAGCCCCACGTCGGGCTCCCTGCTCGGCGGGAAGCCTGCTTCTCCCTCTCCCACTCCCCCTGCTTGTGTTCCCTCTCTAGCTGTCTCTCTCTGTCAAATAAGTAAATAAAACCTAAAAAAAAAAAAAAAAAGAATAGTGGATCCTACACATTGTACACATGGATTACTTTTTCAATATAAAAACCCTTATCTTCTAAGAGCACCAGCTCTGTAATTGGCCCCATCTAGATTAGATCATGTGCCTATTTATTTGCTCGCTTCATTCTTCTGAACCTGTCTCCTCATCTGTAGAATGGGGAGTGCAGTACACATGCACCATAAAGTTGCAAGAATTAAATACACATGACAAGCACTTAGAACAGTACCGGGCACAGTGTAAGCACCTGCTAGATCACACCTACTGTCTTCATCACTATGTTTACTGACAGCAAAATTAAGCCACACGTCAACAGTCAAGGCTAAGAGCATGAGCTCTGGAGCCAGGGGGCTACGTCTCAGTGGTGACCTTGGGTAAGCTACTTTCCCTCTCCACCTGTTTCCTCACCTGTGAAAAGTGGGGGAACAAGTGCCCCCCACAGGGTGGCTGGGGGGCCTGAACCACAGGAAAAGGGATGCAGCTCCCGTGCTGGGGTACATCCTATATGTTGAGCTATGCCAGGTGGTTTCCAGAGATCAGCTGCTGCTATGATTACTTATTATTATCAGCAGGGGGGGAGAGGATTGGGGGACGGGAACGACACACTGGCCACAGTGACAGTCAGAGGAAGAAGAAGACCAAGACAGGCCACCTTCCCAAGAAGGCACAGATATACTCTAAATTAGAATAATAATTTAAAAAAATCCTTCGATACCTCCCATCCCTTCCCCTCCCCTCCCTCCCTCCCCCAAGCCAGATCAACTCAGTGTGATCCCCACCGAGGCCAGGGCTTCAGTGGCCCAGGTGGGACAGAGGGTGGGGTCCCCATACATGGTACCCATGAAGTCCCGTACGAAGTCAGGGAAGCGCTTCTCCACAATACTGGCACGCACGGCGCTCATCAGCTGTAGCTGCGGGGGGGGGGTAGGTGTCAGCCAGGGTGTCAGCCAAGGGGCCCCAGGGCCCTCCCCCGCGCCGACCCCGAGCCTGGCCCACCCTGGCCGCAGGCCCCACCTGGTAGGCGATGTTGTGGACAGTGAGGTGGTGCAGGGCGGCTGTGTTGTCACTGTGCAGCAGTGCGTGCAGGAAGGCCCGGCTGTGCCTGTGGACAGGAGGCTGGGGCTCAGCCACGCAGAGTCCTGCACCCCACCACACCCTCCCCCAGCCCCCAGGCCCAGCTTTGCCTACTTCTGGCAGGTGGGACAGGCACAGTCAGAGTCTATGGGCCGGAAGTCCTTCTCATACTGCTTCTTCTTCAGCTGCAGGTTCCCGGTGGGCACCAAAGCGGAGCCAAAGCGCTGGGGGAGGGGTGGACGAGGGGAAGGGGGGGGTCAACCAGGTCTTCATCCGCACCAGCCGCACCCCAACCTTGGCCCCCTCCCAGCCCCCCACCCGTCTACCCTCTGCCCAGGGTCTCACCGCGGTCCGCGTGGGGAAGACACAGTCGAACATGTCACATCCAAGAGCGACACAGACCACCAGATCGGTGGCATAGCTGGGAGGAGGGCCATGGAGGGAGGGAGCAGAGAACATCATGCCCTGGTCACACACCCAGGTCTCCCCCCAACACAGACACTCCGACAACCCAGGGACCGGACCACATTCCCTCTGAACCGCCCCCAGAGGAAAGCCATGTCGTCCTTTAGTCCCCTCCCAGGCAGGGCTGTGTCCTTCCACCAACACCAGCCCGGGCAGGAATCCCCAGGAACCCCTTCCCACAGGTAGGGCTATTTCCCCACGCCTCCACATACCCAACCCCCATCAGGTAGCGTGGCTTGTCCTTAGGCAGCCTTGAGGTGCTCAGGGCCACCATCCTCCAGAACTGGCCCTTGCTCTCGCCCCCGCTCAGGCCCCCGATGGCGAAGCCGGGCACGTCCCTCTTGGTCATCTCTGGGGGTACAGGGCAAGGTGAGGGGTCGCCGGGCGAAAGAAAATACGCCTCCTCCTCTGCAGCCCTGGGGCAGACCCTTCCCAGACCTCCACCGTCCCTCGGGAAGAAAGAGAAGTGGGGAAAGGGCAGGTGTCTGTCTGTCTTTCCATCTGTCTGTCTAAAGGCCGCTGGTGAGCTCAGCTACCATGAGTTTGAACGCCTGCTGTGTGTGTAGCTCCCTCCCCTCCTTTAGTCCTCAGGAGAGGCCCACAGCCTGTGCGCCCTTCACTGACACCGAAGACGACGACACGTATGTTTCAAAACTGAGCATTTTCCAGGTTTTAGAACAGCAAACATCCCATATGCAAGATAACAGCCTGGCCTCAAAATCTGTAACGTTTCTGTGCCAAAACATGAAGAGACTCCCAACAACCGGGGTAAATAACGCCGTAGGTCTGGTCTGGCCAGCAAAGGAGTGAGTTGCAAATTCCTGAGTGTTTTGCATTTTAGAAGTGGGCTACTAGGCCCCAGAATTGCAGAGAAGGGGTGGCAGCTCTGTACCACTGATGGGGCACTTGAGGCTTGACACTGGCCCGAGGACGCATATGCCAGAGACCGGGTTTGAACCCAGGTCTAGTCTCCAAGCCCAGCCTTGTCTTGAGCCCCAGTTGCCTAGTTCAGCCACGGGAGGCCACAGCATCAACAACACAGACCCATTCGAAGGGTCGGGTTTCGAAGCTGGAATGAGCAGTCGAATCCACTGGAGACAAGTTGTTCAAATGTGGCCTCCCAGCCACCCCACCCCCACCCCGACCTCACTGTGGACTCTGATCCAGTCGCGGGGAGAACCCAGGCAGTGCTGGTGCTGATGCAGGTGAGCTTAGAGTGCCTTGAGAAGCATCACCAGCGTGGCCAAGAACTGAATTTGCTAGGGCAAGACCAGCGTGGTAGGTTTTTTTTTTCAAATGAGAGCACAGAGAATGCCAGAAAATGTTTCACGTGTAAGGGTAACGTTTCATGAAGTCTTGCGTTCTGCTTTCATCTCTGCCTGGGGGTCTCCTTTAAAATGGCTTACTGGACCAGGAGCTGGGCACAGCTCGAGGACAAAAGGAATTACAACAAGGACAGTCTGCACAACGGTACACACAGATGCCAGGCGCAGGCATAAGACTAAACAGACCTTCCCATTTATCCTCACTTCGACCCCATGACGCTGGGAATATGTGCCCATTTCACAGAGGAAAAAAGGGAGGCTCAGAGAGGCCAAGGATGCAGAGCCATGAGGCAGCAGATCAGAGGTCTGGATCCAGCCAAACAAACTCTAGGACCCAGAGCCTTGCCTATTACACTTCGTTGCCTTTGAGACCCTATCTCTGC